AAGGAGGGGAAGAGGGGTTGAAGAGAGGAGGGGATTCAGTAAAAAAGAACCAAAATGCATCATCCTATACAGGTATAAATTCTCTATGAAGAATGTGATTGTTATGTATATCTAAAGTGTACCAATAAAATTAATTTAAAAAAAAGAATGTCAGTCCTCAAAAAAGGTCATACTTTTATTTCACACTGAAAACAAAAAAATTAAAAAGTGAATGCATCTTGATACTAAAACATTGAGATTACAAATTCTCTTTTCTGCAAAACCACAACTTCAGGTCCAACTCTCTCACCTTCCCAAAACTCCAACCTCCAGGTAAACAGGTATAAAGTACCTTACGGGTATCTGGCATACAGATGAACAATATCTACAAATATCCTTTCCCAGATCTGGAAGATATACACTGCACAGTCTGTTTTCCAGAACTATACTGGCTATTGCCATTTATAAATAACAACCAAGAACTTTAAGATACACAATATTTATTTTAGACTATCTTTAAAACCACTTGGTTTTTTTTGTTTAGACGTGGTCTATTTATATAGTCCAGTCTGACCTTGAACTATGTGGCCTCAAACTCTCAATGATCCTCCTGCCCAGCCTCCCTAGGGGTGGGATCACAAGTGTGCACCACCATGCCCAGCTGACCACTGGCCGTGAGACAGCCATTTCAGAAAGTCATCTATGTCCATATCTAGGTAGTTTTTAAAGATGTTTGAGATCTTTCCCTTGCATGGAAATGAAGTATGAATAATCCAGATTATACTTGGAGTTTTTTCAGCAGAGAAAATTCCAAGACAATAAAGATTTTGATCTAAGTTCCTCTGAGTAAACAAGGTTACATAGCAGACAGTACAAACATATGTAAAAATGGACATTGTACAAATAAATGAAACGGTTTCTCTGCCTTAAAAACAAATCAGATGTAGAAGACAAAAACAGGTGACATGGTAACATAAACTGACTTCTGTAATTAGAGGGTCAACACTGACACTTCTCTCTTTAGACCTTTTCTAACAGTTTTGTTGCTAGGGCTACAATGTTTTTGCCAGAGTGGAACAAAATTGTCAACTCTAATGGAGATTAAGTAGTTCGTCCAACTAGATTTTTTAAAATAAGCATTAGTGAATACTGCTGGCTTTCAAAGCCCTAATTATGAAGAATGGAATTTCTAAAGATTAGAAAACACAAATAATAAAATTTGAAATTTAACATTTTCATTCCATAGTTATTCTAGTATTTTATTATAATCAACATAGACAACTTAAAATGAAATTTCAGAGTAATAAATTATTTTTAAGTTAAACTGAAACTTCTCCAAAGATTCTGAATAACTAAGTTCATTTAATGAACAGTTCTTCCGATCAGCTGGAAAATTACTTCATGACTTCAAAAACTTCACACCAATTTATTCTTTAGTCAATATAGATAGGGTACAGGATAGTCCTCTTTGTTTGGTTTGTCTCATTCAGTGGTCAGTCACCCAACAATGCTTTATCTGAGGAAAGCGTAAATACAATTTACCCACTAAGCCATGCTCAAGTTTTGCAAAGCTCATTTTCCATGCTTGGTGACACTATTATTGTACTTTTCAGCACTAACACAAGAGAAATAAAATAACTCTTTAAAGTACCTAGCATATAATAGATAAGTGTTTTTTCCTCTATGTACTTAATATTTTTTTATAAATTCCAGTTATGCAATAATAAAAGCTAACTATTAGTTGTTAAGAGTAAAAAAAGAATTTCAACTTAATTTGAACATTATAACTCTAGTGACATCTGGTGGAAGATACAGGAATTGTAATGCACCACTAGATAGCTATTCTGATCTTTTAGGTAGAGTAAATTTAACATAAATTTCACATACTAAGCAACAAAAATGGAAGGTGAAGAAAAGAATGTTTAGGATATTTTAGTCCTTTAATAATTTTTTAGTTTATGTTTCAAAATACATTGAGTAATGAACACAGGAAACTAATCCATTCCAATAATAAATATTTATTCAACATGTATGTTTACATGGTAAAAAATAATAGAATTTATGGACCCTTTACATTGTTAAAATCTTTTTATTCATGATATGCCAATGAACCTTAAGTTTTTAGATCATAATTAACTATGTGGTATCCTACATACTACCTAAAAGAAGCCAGTTGTGAAGAGAAAATGGAATTGAGATAACAATCAAGAGACATCCAATTTGAGATACAGTAAAATGATGTTACTTTGTGAACCCGAAAAGGTACAAAATAAAATGCTGAGCTAGGAATGGGCTTGAGTTTTGTGACCAGAAGAGCATGCTATGATCTAATAATATTGTACATGGCTTGTAAACTAAAATTCTCGGGCCGTATCCAAGCCATCTGGTTTTTGTTGCTGAAACAGCCGTACTAATTCATTGACATAATGTCTATAGTCGCTTTCAGTGCTCAGTCATGGACATACTGTCTCTAGTTCCTTTCATGCTACGATGACTGACTTAAGTAAATGTAAGAGAAGATTCGATAAGCCTGAAAAGCCTGAACTATGTGAGATCTATTTACAGTTTCCAACCCTTAGTCCATAAAATCTCTCTCATCAGACATCCAGGTGCCCCTTATCCCCTATCGCCACAGAATACAGTTAACCTTCCAATTCTGCATCATTAGATTGAACCAACTTTACAGCACATTTTAAAATTTGGTGCCTGTACTGACAGGTAGACTTGTCATTTTCTCCTAAATACAGTTAAAACTACATAGGATTTTCTTGTACTAGACATAAGTAATTGAGAGATGATTTAAAGTGGATGAAAGAATACTACATTTTATAGAAGGGGCTTGAGCAGCCTCAGATTCTGCTATCCAACCCCAAGGATACAGAGCCACAGACTAGTTGGGCTCTTGGACATCTTGGTGTGGCCACAGACCCAACCGGCGGGATGTCACATAAATGTAGTGTGAGTTTTCAAGCTAAACCTATGGTCCTGGCTAGCCACTGCCCCTTCAAAGATAAAATGAGAACAGAACCACTGTAGCTGAGCCGGACTTGCATGAAAAAAAAAAAGTACATTGTGATATTCTAGGGTTTTTTGATATGCAGTAAAAGCCAACAAATGCGAAAGGTTGTTAAACTTCTGCCTAAAATATACTGACTGCCAAAAAAAGTATATACACTTCAGAAAAACTTGTTTAAACATTTTAGTATTTTCATCTGAGGGATTTTCAAGGACACTGCATATTGCAGAAACCCATTACACTGCCAGCCCTTAGAGATGAAACTGAAAATGCACATGCAGCAATTTTAACGGACACCTTGACCAAGACTACCCAAGCAGCAGTTCACTATACTAATAAATGTCTCGAAGCTAATGGCCACCACTGAGTGGTGTACCTGTAGCCAAAAGTAACTCTTATTAAACCCATCATATCTCAATCATATCTCAATCAATTTAGTATTAAAGTATTTATGTGTTTTTCTTTTCCTAAACTGTGTGTACACTTTTGGCAAGACTCTATATTCCCATGAAGCTTAACTTCTCTGACTGAAGACACCGGAAAGATCCTGAAAACCAGATGTGGTTTAGTCGCTTCTAGACTGTTTCACACTTTGATGGGATCAACTAGAACATTTCCTTTTTCTACCTATGATAAGCAAAACTGAGTCACAATCAGGCCTGACCTAGGAATCTACCAGACTGTCTCGGAATCTTACCTTTCCTATGTTTAACATAGTATGAGAGCCTGTCAGTTTTTTTGGGTGATGATTTAAACGTCTTCTTCCTAAGTAGAGCCTTGAAGAGGGAGGGACAAGGATAACTGGGGTCATAGACTAAAGCTTTTCCAATCTAGCTTTGTACATGAAGCTCAGTTTGACTTACTCAACTGCAAAATGTGTATCTCTTAAGGATTAAGAGAAATAATGGCTCCTCGGAAACTTCACGTGAGTTAATACGTTAACCAGCAGTTGACATGTAAATGACATTGGTGGGGGGAGTAATCATAGTACATGCTCACTTTTAAAAACATAATTTCACAGAATTTAGTCTTACATCTCAAATTCTTAAGCCTTTTTAAACCTTTTTAGTATCACTCTTCAAAACTTCAAGCTAAACATCAGTAATCCATTTTCTTCAGAAAGAAACTCAGGATCTACGAATTTGTCATAGAGAAACCTGTAAACTGTCCTTATTCTTAGGTGTTCAGCCTTTCCTTTGATTCTCTATGCTATCTTTCCATAGCCAGTTTTTGTTTCCTACAAGCAAGAGTGGTACAATGACTACAATGCTGGTATCTGGGAGGATTGCTGCAAGTTCAAGGCCAGCCTGGGCTACATAATAAATTCAAGGTCAGCTTGAACTCTACATAGCAAAACCATTTCAAAAAACCCCCCACAAAATACTGTTTTTTTAAAATAAAAACTGGAAAAAAATCTCCTGTAAAAGACTGAAAGTTTCAGAAAGGCCAAGACCTTGTTTCATTCATCTCGGCACATCGTATGTAGCATCCTGCACATTAATAGATGCTATATATGTAATGCTGCACGATTAATACAGACTATGTACACGTACCTAGCAAAGGTTAAATGAGATAACAAATATAGAGAGCTTAGAATAGTTTTTAATAGCAGTGTTTTAAATTATTACAAAATAAAGAAGATTAAGATTTGTCTTAAAATGACTTTGGAAGGACAGGTAAGAACCAAGTAGAAAGAATATACTGATAAGAGTATAAACGAAGACAAAGAAAATAAGTCTTCTGTTTAACTACGTAAGAAAAATCAGTCTATGTGTATAGAAAGGTACTACAACCCAACATTTGCTAAAATGAACAGCAAATGATATTTGTATTTCTACAATAATGCTTTACATCTACTTTATGAGAAGGAAACTTACTTTATAAGCAAAATTTACGCAGTAGACTGAAAGTACCTTTGTAACTATTCAACTTTGTATAACTGTATATTCTAAAACTTAATAGGCATAAGAAATCATTTGCTACACTGAGTCCATTCTACCATTTACCTGTTAATATCATATGAATATCAAATTATTTTAAGACAAATTTAAAACATAAAAGATTTAACTTTATTTCATCATTGTCATTAAAAGCTTGATTTTTAAAAACATTTTTAACATTTACACATTTATAGCAATTAAACAATACAAACCTCCATTGCTTTATGGGTTTGAGTTATATAAATTAAAAATCAAATAATTACAAATTTTTTCTATATTGGAACTATATAATAAAGTGACAAAAAGCAACTTTAGTACTTTCAGGATCTAAACAAGGATTCTGAATTTTCACTTTCCTTGTTTTATCAAATCTCTCTATCCAGCTTAATATTTAACCAAGATGAGTAACTTTATACCAAAAGACTTTCCATCTACAATCACCACTTTCAAAGGAATTCCCCTTACAATACTGATGAAATCTATTGGTTCCTCATGAACAATGTGCAGTATCCTCATGTTAGCCCGATGGTAAGTCAAACAGGCACTTTAAAAAATGAAACAATTATGCACAGTTCATTAAAGTATAATGTTGGTTTTTCCCATCGAAAAATTAACCAGTGAAATAAAACATCAACTATAGTTGACTTGGTTTCAGGAAAACCACATTTGAGAATTTTTTCCATTACATTACTTCCCTCATCTCATCCTCAGTCATTGACAGGGATTTTGTAGGCCACCATACTATTTACTTTGTGGATTGTAGTAGTAAATGAACGAAGACGGACTTCCTCAGAATTGGTAATGAACTGTGGTCCCGACTCTTCCCATTTTTCAGGTACAACCAAATCTTTGTCTGTATAAATCAGGAGGTCAAATGAACCTAAATTGGGGAAAAGACCATTAAAATACTCAAAAGTAAAACTACCTTCTCAGTAACTCTCATAGTGACACATTTTGAACCACTCAATATTAGAAAAGATACTTTAGCTTGGTTTCTAATCATTAATGTTTTCCTCAGTGAAATTCTTAGTTCAATAAATACACTCTTCTATCTTAGCTTACAAAATGTTCAAGATTTAATTAAAGAGAAAAACTATTAAAAATAAAGTTAAGTGTATTATCACATGAGAAAATATAAATATAAGACACCAAAAAAACTGACATCTGAGTTCTATCACTGCTGTAATCCAGTGCCCAGAATAGCGGCAGGCACATAGTAGGCATCCGGTAAATATTTGATGGAGTATTTAGATAAAACAGCAAGATACAATATCTATAATTGCAATATATAAAGTAGTAGTGAAAGGAAAACAAAAGTAGTGAAAGGAATTTTAACAATGGGTGCTATGGAATACTTTTTCTTTACTCCAGTATTTCCAAGTTTTCTAGACTACGTATCATTTTGCTTTGTAATGCTTTTTCCCCCAACTATATTACATGGTATTATTATGAAAAAAAATTAATAAAGGGCTAACTGTTAAAACAGTACCTTAGTCTTTTCCCCAGGAAATGTAAATCATAGAAAAGTTACTAATACTTACAAGAAACTTCTAATAATGGAAGAAATGTTACTGTAGCTGTGATCTGTCTGATCACAGAACGAATTTCATCCTGGATAGCTTTCTGAGACTTTTCTCTGGGAGCACTATCAAAAAAAAAAAAAAAAAAAAAAAAAAATAAATTAATT